CCTTTGCTTTGACAATGTAGACTAAAATTCCTAGTTGCTGTTTGAAAGCTTTTTGGATGCAAGCTTTCATTTTTACTTTTTCCTACTTATCTTTTTCTTTACGCGTTTGTCATTTTTTTGTATTTTTTTTTGTATTCCAAACGAATGCAGCATTCAGTACATCAAATCCAGGCGTGTAGAGATAACAGTCCGTACCGTAGATAATCAGTGGTTACCGGTCCTTGCAAAACTTCATCAATGTTGTTAAATTGCTTGGAAGTTGCCTGGCAGAGATAACACTGTTGCGCAGATTTTGTATTGATTATAACATTGCATACTTTACCATCTAACATGGTCATACTTAAACTGTATTGAATAAAAAACATTTTTCATATGAATGATTGTTTTCAATGGTTGAAGTTGTTTGATCTGTTTGTCAAAATAGTTTTTATTTTTTTATTTTAATAAAATATATAAGTGCATTTATACCATCATTTAAATGAATTCTATCTATTTCTTTTTCTAAGTTATTTATCTCACTGGGTAGGAGAAAGCGTTGTTCCCGTCTTTTTCAACTTTTAATTCTCTTTATAATGCTTCAAGACATCAATAATAGTTAAAATTGTACCAATGTAGCTCATAATAAAATAATTTTACTTTCTTTTTTCAAGATCAATAACAACATTTTGCAACTGTCTCAATAACAACATTTTGCAACTGTCTTAAAAAACATGGCTTAAAATTGGAGTTGGTACAAGTAGGTGAATTTGAATGTTAAGTTGCAAAGATAATTCTATATACGTACAAACACAATGTAAATGAATGTGGAATGTTGTGGAATTCGTAACTTACCTCTATTTTTAAAGCAAATTTTATAATTTTATGAAATATTTTTCTATATTAAGTTAATTAAAAAGAAAAACATTTCTAGTTTATGACTTAATAACAATATTTTTGGGTTATTTTGATATTTGATATGGAAAAGAGTTAAGAATGTCAATACACTGGTGGTAGTTCCATAGACGATTCAGATATAACAGACAAGGAGACCAGTGATAGTGATGACAACAGATGTGCGCAAAACAGAAAACATTATCCAGAACTGTGTAAAGCTATTGATCGCTCTAAATGTAGCAATCGAGATGCCTGTTAAATTATGAATTCTGCCTTGAAAGACCTCGGATTTCTTTTCCCTAAAAAATGCTATACATCCCAGCAAACTACGCCGTCAAAGATCTGCATATCGAAAGAAGTCAGTTGTGAGTCATGCAGAGGAAAATCAAGAAATTGTTTGTCTTGGTTTTGATGGTAAGATTAATGTTACTCTTACACGTGTTCTACAACTTCGGTTCTACAACTCGACGTAAGTTAAAAGAAGAACATGCTTTGGTTTCATTCCCAAACCGAAACTATGTCAAACATGTTGTTCCAGCATCAAGCAGATCTGATGATCTCAAGAGAAATTTTATCGGCTGTTATAAGTACTAAATCAGAAACAGCTTTAAGAGCACTCGTTTGCGATAGAACCAATGTTAATGTAGGAAAAAGTAATGGCATAATCCGAAAAATTGAACAATATCTACAAAAACCACAATGGTTAGTTTGTATTCTGCATGCAAATGAATTGCCTTTGAGAAAACTGATAGAAGTTATTGATGGGAAATCTACTGGTCCAAGAACTTCCAAAGGAAAAATAGCAGGCGTGATGGAATTTGATCCTCAACATAAACCTATAATTGATTTCTCTCCTGTATCAGGTTGCGTTGCTGAGGTTGATGAGACCGTAATGAGTGACCTGAGCACAGATCAGGTGTACCTGCTTAAAATATGTCTGTTAATTCAACGTGGTTAAAACGCCAGTAACAATTACATTGATTACTTGCAAACTGCTCAACCTGCTGCAGTCAGTCATGCCAGATGACTAACTAAAGCCAACCGTTTGTTAAAGTTGTATGTTTGCGAACAATGTCCTTCCCATAATCTTCGACGTATTGTTTCATTCATACTGAACTTCTATGCACCCTCATGGTTTCATATCAAATCTCATCCGACATGCCAAGATGGTGCCAAGAATTTCTTCTTCATGTTGTCGCTTTACCAGAAACTTGAAAAGACTGATCAGGAGATTGTTGCGCCAGATTGTTGCAAAACAACAGCTACATTTGCCATCCGGAAAACATCTTGGTGGCAGCTTTTGGTGATGATGATGGAAATATCAGGAAATTCGCTTTTGAAAAAATTCTGCATGCTCGAAGTGAATATTCCGATGATAGAATTTGTTGTTTTGACAAAAGTTTGACCAAAATTAACTTCACGTGCAAGTCATACTTTGACATGATCGACTGGAATAAGGCCATCTTTGATTCACCTCCACTTCTGGGTGACATCACGTCACAAACAATTGTTAGTCATTCAAAAGTTATTCTACCTAAGTTTCCATGCCATTCGCAAGATGTTGAGAGAGATATCAAAGATATATCAGCGGTCTGCGGTAAAGTTTACGGACACGATTCACGCCATGTTGTTATCATTCAAATGAAGAAATCGAGAATAGATTTGCCTAGTTGAGAAACTAAAGCTGATTTCCTACCATAAGAAAGACACTTATACTTAACATTTGTATGCTTGATATTTGTAATGCATGCCATGTTGGTTACTTGCTTTATTTTCTTACGAAGATGTGGAATTAGAGACGAAAACCTATATGCGAGCAAGGCTCGAAAGTGCGATAGTTTGCAGACTAAGTTGCTATAAAACGATGATGTATATTAATTTATAGATATATAATACGTATATATATAAATATATATATATATATATATATATATATATATATATATATATATATATATATATATATATATATATATATATATATATATATATACATATATATATATATACGCACACAATATATATATATATATATATATATATATATATATATGTATATATATATATATATATATATATATATATATATATATATATAATTTATATATATATATACATATATATATATATATATATATATATATATATATATATATATATATATATATATATATATATATATATATATATATATATATATATATATATATATATATGCACATATATATACACACACACAATATATATATATATATATATATATATATATATATATATATATATATATATATATATATATATATATATATATGCACATATATATACACACACACAATATATATATATATATATATATATATATATATATATATATATATATATATATATATATATATATATATAAATATATATATATATATATATGCACATATATATACACACACACAATATATATATATATATATATATATATATATATATATATATATATATATATATATATATATATATATATATATAAATATATATATATATATATATATATATATGTATATATATACATATATATATATATATATATATATATATATATATATATATATATATATATATATATATATATATATATATATATATATATATATATATATATATATATATATATATATATATATATATATATATATATATATATATATATATATATATTACAGTGATGAACCTAGACGTGTTTTAGTACCCTTTGACCGGTATGGGCGCCCAAAAGAAAGCGCGCAAAAATTATTTTTATTTTTTAATTTTTCTTTTGCTTTTTTATGAAAAATAGAAAAAAAAATTTCAGTGTTTAATGCAGTAGTATACAAATAATTTTCAATTTATTATAGCTACCTAATTTTTTTTCTTTAGGACAAAAACATAAAGTAAAAAGATAAAAATAAAAACTTTTTTACATAACTACGTAACGTAATTGGCCTTAGGTCTTCTAACTGTTGTAGCTATTGCTCAAGCTTAATTTTTGAATGAATGAACTTTTTATGGAGTGTTTCAGACAGTGGTTGGACTATGCAAGGCGTTGTGTTTCTATGATTTACAAAGATATTTTTTCCTGAAAATTTGGATTTTTACAAATATATATGTACGAATTGCCCCAAATTGGTCAAACAAGCACTGGGATTCTTACATATATTTTAGATTTTTACAGAACTTGTTTCCTCTGACAATAAAAAAAAGCCTTTTTCATATTGTCATAGTAAATAAGTTTTATAAAATTCCAAAATGTATGTAAGAAAACAAGTGTTAGATCTTGTTTACTCTAAAAAAGCTTTTTAAAAAAAGTTCTTTACCTAAAATTAATTTTTATTGTTTTTACAGAGCTTTAATTGTTCCTGACCAAGTCGCCTCGATTCGGGAATACAAGACCTGAAGTTTTTACATTAATCATTTTTTGATATCTATAAATATAAATAAATTTGTCACCAAACTGGACAAACGAGCAGTGGAATCCTTTCCTAGGGCTCCTAATATGAGAATAATAATTTGTAGAAGTGAATGCTTTGATTCTTTAGTAAAAAAGAAAACAAAAAAAATTTAGCATAAAAACTTCAATGAAAGCTCTTTCTCATTGATAGCATTTGAAAGAAAAATTTATTATAAAAATTTGGTGGCATAAATCTTTAAGGAAAACTCAACAATTCTAAACTCAAAATAGGCGTTATTGAGCCCAACATAAACTGTCATAACCTGGGAACCAGTTATCCAGATTTAAAAAACGAACTCATTCTGAAAACGTTTTTATTATCCGCGCACTTTGGTATTAATTATAACTAGAAATAATGATAATAGTTAAATCATGTGAAGTGCCAACAGATAGAAAAAAGCTGTAAACTTCTAATAGATAGAAAAAAGCTGAAAACTTCTAATAGATAGAGAAACTTTTAATAAGTGTTTTTTTAATGTTTAAAATTAGATTATTTAGGTAAATATTACGAATTTCAAGTATTTAAAAAAAAATTAAAAATAAAATAATTTTAAAAAACTTCAAATCAAAAAAAAAAAAAATTTATAAAAAATACAACATTTACACTAAAAAATAATAGATCCAAAAAACATTTCCAAAAGAAACTTACGAAAAAGACAAATGTTTTCAAGATAATCATGTGAAAATGCTAAATTTATCTCTCAACTGTGTCCTTAGAACTAGTTTAGGGATGAGTTATTTTGAGGAACGTTAAAAAACGTTTCATTTTTAAGAATTTTTTTAAAATAGAAAACTGGTTTTAAAAGTATAAATTATGAAGCAGAAAATAATTTATTTAAATTTTATTACTTTATATTTTTTTGTTTGTTTTGAACTTTTTTAAAACGATATGAAATATTTAAGGTACAAAATAAATAATTTACAGAAATTTTTTTTTTTCAAAATATAAGAATGCTATCATTTATTCAATACCATTATTTTATTGTGCTTTAAAGCTTATATTTGATGCTCTTTATTTCGGTATCACTTAGCAGTTAAATCAAAATACAAGAACTTTTTGTTTAGATGTCACTAGAAATATAAAATTTCCTTTGCTGATGCTCTTTTATGAATAATTTTTTTTCAAAGTGTTTTAAACAAATCACAAATGATTTGTTCACATAAAGAAATAACGGTCACCTTTTTTACTAGTATCATGTAATCCAGTACAAGCTTCTACATCTGTTGTCACACTTCTACATCTGCTGTCGCACTTCTATATCTGCTGTCGCGCTGCTACATCTGCTGTCGCGCTGCTATATCTGCTGTCGCACTTTAGCATATACTTTTCTAAGCAAATGTTAAGAAAAATTAACTGACTTTAAAAACTAACAGCTTTGGAGCATAAATTTTGACAAAATAAAAACAAGTTTCTAATATTTTGTCAATAATCTAAAAACTTACTTTCTGCCAATCAATAAGGATTTTGCACCTCTTGTTCAACTGGTGACTTACTAACCATTATAGAAAAAAGATTTTATTGTGAACAGAGGCAATTCTAAAAATAAAATGAGAGAGAATAAAAAAGGATCGACTGCTTTTTTGAGAAAAAACGACAAAAAAACCTCAAAATTAAAAATCCCACAACTCAAATGTGTCAAATACTCAATATAGTCAACAATATTTTTCAAAAAATCGACTGTATTTTAAAAAAACCCCTCCCCCAAGAAGAATCTCCTCTAGTTGTAAATTAGATGCAAACAACAAGGAACTATTGATATTTACATAACAAAAGCTTTCAATAAAATTTATTACAATAATAAATATATTACAATAATAAATATATTACAATAATAAATATATAACAGTAATAAATATATTACAATAATAAATATATTACAATAATAAATATATTACAATAATAAATATATAACAGTAATAAATATATTACAATAATAAATATATTACAATAATAAATATATTACAATAATAAATATATTACAATAATAAATATATTGCAATAATAAATATATTGCAATAATAAATATATTGCAATAATAAATATATTACAATAATAAATATATTACAATAATAAATATATTACAATAATAAATATATTGCAATAATAAATATATTGCAATAATAAATATATTGCAATAATAAATATATTACAATAACAAATATATTACAATAATAAATATATTGCAATAATAAATATATTGCAATAATAAATATATTGCAATAATAAATATATTACAATATTAAATATATTGGAATAAAATCGAGTTTTTTAATCCAAAATTATTTTTGCAGATTTTTTTATTAGAATAGCTATATTTATATATAAGATGCATAAATTAAGTAATAAGCATGTAATTATATAATACAAAAAAAGTGAATAAAAAAATTAAATTATGGTGAAAAACGCGAAAATTTTTAATAGGCAAGACTTTGGGGCTGTCCATAATAATGTTTGTGACTTTTCTCACTTTTTTGACACCCCCTCCCCCCTTTGTCAAACTCTGTTAATATTTGGTCAACCCCTTTATATATGATGTCAGTTTTTGTACCCCTTCCTAAAGTAACATTAAAAACATGCGTAAACACCATTGACTTTTTTCTGGTTAAATTATACATTTAAATAGTAATAGATCTAAGCAAGTTATATTATAGAACAGTGGATCATTCATTAAATGATAAACAAACTAATCAAAATTTTATTCTATATCTGTAATACAAATTCAATCACTCGTCATCTTCCCATGGTTTGTTGAAGTCATCTTCTATAATAACGACAGTTGTATTTGAAATAATGACAAATGATTTTATGTGTTTGCTTTGAAACACAATTTATAATCGGATAGAGAGCGGATTATAAAATGTGATTATAAATTTATATACAAGTTGTTAATATTTGTAAACAATTAGATTTTCATTCAAATGGTAATACAATAATAAAACGTTGGTAAATTTTTAATTTATTATCTTTGGGAAACTTACATCAAATTCTTCACAAAGCAAATTTACCATTTCTACCACATTGTAGTATAAATACCATTAAAATCTGCTCGTATAAACTTGAAATTTTTTTTTTTTAATTGACATCATTTTGGTCTCAATTACCCCCCTCCCCATTGTCAACTCTTGTCAAACTTTTCAGTACCCCCTCTCCCTATATTTACTGACATCATTTATGGATGACCCCTTTTATGAATGTAAACAGCAAAAATATTACTTTTCAATGCATGTATTTGTCATAAAATAACTCATAAAATAACTTTTTTAGATTTATAATTGCAGAACTTATATATTATTACAGTAATGAAAGATTTTGACGTCTTTTATGAATAGCCTCTTAAATAATTTAAAATTTGATTCATTAAAAGTGCATTTGGGAATATCCATAAATCCTAGAATTCACTGTAAAAGATGTAATATTCCTTATAAAGATTATTCCTCAAAACTCAACACCTTCAACTTTGAATCTCTCAAATGCCGTAAAACTATATTTGACATTACAATGACAAAATTATACGCAACCTTTTTGATCTACATTTTTCTGAGCTTTTTACATTTGCACCTTCTTACTAAGCTACAAGATGTCATGTTCAAAAAATTATTCCACGTAACAAATGTAATAAGGGCACACAGAGTTTATATATATATATATATATATATATATATATATATATATATATATATATATATATATATATATATATATATATATATATATATATATATATATATATATATATATATAATATATATATATATATATATATATATATATATATATATATATATATATATAATATATTGACAGTGTGAAAAAAGTGTAATAGTTTGATATCTTTTATCGTAGTATCTGTTGTATTTCAATTGTTACAAATACTGTAGGATTTACATTAGTTACACCAAGAAAAGCAAACAGATAAAAGTTGACGTCATCTTTTCTATTTCCGTTTAAACAACAATCTAAGTAGTAAAAAAATATTTTTTACCGTTTTATTATTAACTGTATTTGCATGTAAACGATTTGACGTGTGCCTGAATATACGCCTAGGAAGCGTACATGCATCATTGATTTGCATAAAGAAGGTCTTAACATCCATGAAATTGCTGCAAAGAGTTATCTGAAAAAGAGTGGCGTAGTGAATGTAATTAAACGGTTTTAGAATACTAGTCAAACCATACCAAAGTAGCAAACTGGACGTCTGAATAAGTTTCTGTTGAATCGTGTTTTATCTCGCTTTGCAACTCTGGGTTGATTCAAGGGTTCGACTGGACTGTCCAGCGATTGGTTTGAAGCAACAGAAAAAAAAGCCTGCTCAAGTACCGTACGAAGATGGTTGATCGCAGATAGCCTGAAATCGAATCGTTCAGCAAAGAAACCAATGCTGACCAAGTTTCAGAGGAAATGACGTCTGGATTTTGCAAGAGCACACAAGCGCTGGAGTGTGGATGACTGGAACAAGGTGCATATGTACAGTATTACTACGCAATTTTTAGACAAGACTAATTGTGTATGTTGTGAATATCTTTGTCCATGCGCCGTTTTTATGTGTTATTCTTTTTTCCATTTTTTTATTACTGCAGTTCTGTACAGTATTATGATTGTAATTTTTAGGTTGACAGTAATGTTTTTCTTTTTTTAAACTGCTTATTGTACAACATGTGCTTTTTATGCATTTGGCTGCAGGTCATCTTTTCCGATGAAAGCACATTTAGCATCCAGGCTAACAAGACTAATCTCAGATGTCAAGCTAACGAGAGACTGCTTTCAAGTTGCATTGCTCCAACTGTTAAACTCCCTGAAACCGTAATGGTTTGGATTTCTTCTTCATTCTATGGACCAGGGCGTCTGTACGTTGTTCCTATGGTCACTACTATCAGTTCAGAAAGGTATTTGGAAATATTGGTTACACGCATGCTACCCAGTGAATCAGCTCTGTATCCAACTGGTGACTTCATATCTCAAGACGATGGTGCTCCTTATAATTGCTCAAAGATGGTCAAACAACAACACAGCGTGACTCAGATGCATGATTGGCCAGGCCAGTCACCAGACATAAACCTAACTAAAAATCTGTGGTGCATCTATAAAAAGGAACATCAGCAACACTAAGTCAACAAGTAGAGTCACTCTGATAGAGGCAATAATACGTGCCTGGCATCACACAGTCAACTTGGAGACATTGCACACTTTGGTTGAAAGCATGCCTCCACGTATCGCTGTTGTAATAGCTGCAAAGGGTTATGCAAGCAATTATTAATTTTGGACATGCTTTGATAGTTACAGGACATTGTATTTGAAAAAAATTCATAATCAAGCACTCTTTAAAATTAATTTGCAACTATGAACAGTACAATCAAGTATTGAAAAGTATTAAATGTCATTTATAATTTAAAAGACTGTAATTTGAACTAGTTTTATATTAAAAAAAAAGAAGTTTTTTGACGCTGTCCTCATTTTCACAGATATATATATATTTTTGATATAAGATATCACAGATATATATATTTTTGATATAAGTTATTTATGATGTGATATCAAATTTTAAATTGTGTAATTTCATCTTGATATCATATGATCTCGTAAGCGTATCATGTTATGATACGCTTACGTTACGTCTACTAAAATAAAATCATTATTTTATAATCATGATATCAAAATGCTGATTGGGTTACTTTATTTATAAAACATTATTCGGTCACGAATCTATTCAAGTAATTAATACTCGATAAAAATTTTTAAAATAACGATATTCAAACATATTCAAGTTAAG